CTTGAAGACTAAGCTCATCAGTGCATTTATGCTTTGCCCAATGCCATGTTTATTCTACTGTATTGTTACTTTTTCCCCCGGTAAACAAGAGAAGGCCCAAGCCCAATGCCCTATTCACCTGTCCTTCCTGCATCACTCAGGCCTCTGCCTTCCCTTCTTCCTCGCATATACATGTTGGCGGTCTGATGGAGTCAGTTGTGCACATAGGTTTTGTGAAGGACTAATCATGGCATTACGATCTGCATATTTGTGAACAGACCTTCCCTTCTTCCTCCTACCTTAGCTTCTTCACAAAGCACCTTCAAGATCTCTGGCTCCTCTTTCCAGATCTGCAGAGTCCCAACCATCTCCAATCTCAGCTTCGCAAGTGCATCTGCTTCGCCTCTCTACGGGCCCGATCCACTCTGACTTCCCGCCTTGGATCCATCAAGTCTGCAATTTCCTTCCACAGACAACACATAAAGGTTCCTTCTTTCTCCTTCCCCTTCAATCTTCTGGCAACTTCCCTTTCATCTACGTACCTCCAATATCACCTTTCTAATCCCCAAGCTCGAAGCTACTTCCGATCCTCTCTTTACTCCCCAAGCTTCAACCACTTCTACTGAACAACTTCCCACCTTCACTGCGAACCAATTTGTTTGACTTATAAATTGGTATATAATCTAACGCTATAAATAAATATTTTAGAGAAATTATATAAGATATGCTGTAATTAAGTTATTTAGCTCATTCAATATCCTTAAATTAATCAATTCGGTTTTATTTATTTTTTGGTGTATATGTAGTGATATTATTTGTGCGACTCATTTCATTTCTTCCAATAATAATAATTTTTGTTTCATGGTTACAAAAGGGACGCCAATAGCCAAAATGCCGCTATTCGCTCCAGTGTCGAAGCTCAATTACCCGGGTGAGCTCACTCTATACGAGACCTTCTAATTTTTTTTCCTTGCAAATTAATGACTCAATCTTTACATTATTAAGCCTTTTATTTTTCAGCTGTGAATGGCCAATATGCATAAATAATTAATTAATTGATCATACTATTGGTTTAGTTTTAAAGCCGACTCCTGTCAAGAATTTTTTTCTTCTTTCTTTTATTTTTATTCGTTTATTTTGTTCTTCACGGGACTGCATACACACACATGCATATATAAGTAGCTTTTGTTTCTATTCTTACTGGTTCGTTTACTATTGTAAATTATTTTACAATAGCCATATAGAAATATTGCTAGTTTTTATTAGTCAGTTATATGTTTAGGGCTTGTTTCTTTAAATATTTTTATAAAAAATGTTGTTTTGAAAAAGCACATTTGAAAAATTTTATGATGTTTGTTTTAAGGGCGTATTTTTTTTTATAGAAAAAATGATTTTCAAATTATTTGAAAGAGTGACGGTTGCTATGCTCAACCATTACTCTTTTTATAAATGCGCACTATTTTTTTTTTTTTAACATGGCAGACAGATATCTGATTTCTGATTATTCCACGTAGCTTTTGAAAATAATGAGATACAATAATTGAAAAAAAGTGTATAATGAAAATATAGAAATACACGGAGATATCATTATAATAAAAAATTAACCAAATAATAATTTTTTTTAATAATTGCAACAAAATGCAAAGTTATTTCTGCTTTTTATAAAATATTTATTTAGTATATCATTTTTTCGTGAATCTCTAAACTATATAAAATTAATCCACTTATTTTCTTTTTAATTTAAACAAACCGTCGTATGATTTTGGGTATATAACTAATTAATAGATCAACCATCTCATGCCGCCCTAGGAAAGGAAGGGAACTTGGATACATATATACTATCTCTAGTTTTTAATATAAGACTCAGTTGAAAATTTGATTTGGTCTTAAATATAAGACCTTAATCCATTTTATTCTCTAAATTTATGATTTACTCTTGAAAAGTATTCCTATTGATTACACATGTCAATGGGTTTCTGCCTAAGGGTGATACTTTAGAAAAATCAACTCATATTTGTGATAAATAACTAATATAACTAATTTTCTTAATTTACTCAAATTAACCAAATAGCTCTTATATGGAGCAGCCAGAAAGGTTCCACGACCACCAGTCAGTAGACAGTCCTCCAAAAATATTGCAGATGAAGCCACAAGGGTTCCGCCAATACCAGTCATTAGACCCTCCTCCATAGATATTGTAGATGAACAAACTGTAGAATCTACATTTGCGAAGGCAGATACAAACGCAGATGGCATATCAACAAAGGAAGAACTAGAGAAAGCCTCCAGTGAACTTACTGGTTCGTTTACTATCGTAAATTATTTTACGATATCTCAATATAGAAATATTGCTTTTTTTTTTAATCTGAATATAGAAATATTGCTTGGCTTTATTAGTCAGTTATATGTTTGGAACTAGCTTTGGTACTCATTACTTTGATGAACACCCTAAACTCATCAAATTTGAATCATCCATGTCTCATTTTGATGATTCAGATTGTTTATTTGTTCAAAATAATTATTTTAATACATATAGAATCTAAAATAAAAATAATCTCTGAACCATCATTCTCTCAAAAAATAGCTTTTTCTATTCAAAAATAATTAATTAAAGATTTTAAAGATGGACTGTTTAAATTAGATGTAGGCGATTCAGATCTGATGAGTTTAGGGTGCTTATTAAAGTAATGAGTATTGAAACTGGTTCTTTATATGTTTAGGGCTTGTTTGTTTAAACATTTTTATAAAAAATATTGTTTTGAAAAGATACATTTGAAAAATGTTATGATGTTTGTTTTAAGGGCGCTTTTTTTCTTAAAAAATTGATTTTCAAATTATTTGAAAGAGTGACAGTTGCTTTGCTCAACCATTACGCTTTCTAAAAAAGCGCACTATTTTTTTTAACACGACAGACAGATATCTGATTTCTGATTATTCTACGTAGCTTTTGAAAATAATCAGATACAATAATTGAAAAAAAAAGTATATCATGAAAATATAGATATACACGGAGATATCATTATAAAAAAAAATTAACCAAATAATACTTTTTTATAATTGTAACAAAATGCAAAATTATTTCTGCTTTTTACAAAATATTTATTTAGTATATCATTTTTTTCGTGAAATCTCTAAACTATATAAATTAATCCACTTATTTTCTTTTTAATTTAAACAAACCGTCGTCTGATTTTGGCTATATAATTAATTAATAGATCAACCACCTCATGTCACCCTAGGAAAGAAGGGGGGAAGGGAACTTGGATGCATATATACTACCTCCAATTTTTAATATAAGAATTACTTGGAAATTTGATTGGGTTTTAAATATAAGATTTCAATCAATTTTATCTCCTAAATTTATAATTTACTCTGTAAAAGTATCTTTATTGATTATATATGTCAATGGGTTTTCATCTAAGAATAATCATGATTAAAAATTGTAATTTAGAAAAATCAACTCATATTTCTGATAAATATAACTAAAATAATTAATTTTCTTAATTTACTCAAATTAATAAAGTGGTTCTTATTTTGCTCAAAAAAAAAATAAAGTGGTTCTTATATTGAGCAGACACAAGGGTTCCATCACTACCGGACGTTAGACTCTCCGACATAAATATTGCAGATGAAGCCACAACGCTTCCACCACTACCAGACATTAGACTCTCCATATATATTGATAGGGCACGAGCAAGCCCACACGGCAGATTAGCAAAGGATGAACCAGAGGAAGCCTTTATCGAACTTACTGGAAGCCCTGCGAGATGGGATGCAAGACTTGCTAAGGAAGGGCTTGCAGGGGCAGCAAGGGCCAAGGCTAGTAACAAGGAAGAAGAACTTGCAGAGTCATACGAGCCTGAGGAGGAGGAGGAGACATCACATGCGGCTGGGACGATAGAGGAAGAAGGAGGCCCTATTGAGGTAGGGAAAATGACAGAACAGGGGTATAAACTGTACGAAGCTATATTTAAAAACCAATGGGAAACTGCAAAAGTATTGTTAGAGAAAGAGCCAAATGCCTTAACCTCAAAGATTACTGCTACAGGCAAAACACCATTTCATTTGGCTGCCTTGTTTGGGCACGTCCACATGGTGGAGGAGTTGCTGAAACTGTTGGAGAATCCAGAATTCCTAGAAACCGTTGATGGTTTGGGCCATACCCCACTCTTAATTGCCACTGCCACTGGAATCACTGAGGTTGCCAAATGCCTAGTGGGCAAGAATTCCAAACTACTTGGCATTCCAAACCCGATCAATGAACTTCCCGTTACATTGGCTTTTCTCAATGGTCATCATGAAATGGGACGTTATCTTTATAAGGAAACTCCATTGCAATTCCTCCAACCCCACAAAAACCAATGTCTTGGTCCTACTCTTCTTCGGTGTTGCTTCGAAACACAATGTTTCGGTAGGTATTAATAATTTTATATAGGTTAAGAAAATTAGTTAAAATTAGTTAATATTTTTTAAAATGTTAAATTATCTCGATCAAGTTTATGAATTAGATGAGATTGTTTATTTATTTAGGTAATATCAAATCACATAAGGGTCTTATAACAATTTAGCAATGGAGAATATTATCCAAGTACTCCTCTACTCTCAAGCCTATATTTTATTTCTTCTTATTTTTGTAGTGTTATAGTATATATTCAATCGCATAGAGCATAATGTGTTTTAGTAGTCATTCGGCCCTAAGTGTAGAAGCTAGTTAAAGAGTTGATTTTTATTCTACGTATAGAATCTTAATCCTTTTTATCTTTTAGGTTTATTATTTTTTTTCTAAACTACTCTATAACATAATCATGTTATATTTGCTAGAATTAAGTAATTCATTTAGTTTTCTTAATTTACCCAAATTAATATAATGGCTTTTACGTTGTGCACAAGGAGAGATCATCTTTTTGCCAATAGTAATTGTCAATTTATTAATTGAACATATATGATATACAGATATTGCTTGCCACTTGCTTTGTCAATGCCCAGAATTGCTTCTTGCGCGTGATAAGGAGCATTGGAAGCCAATTTATGGCATCGCAACTATGAATTCTACAATTCCTAGTCCAACTGAACTTGTCTTCTGGAAACGGTGGATCTATAACTGTCAGTATTATCACTACTTAGATATTTCTAGGATCCTCTTTTTCTTTCTTATCATACTAGTATTAGATTTACCTTTTTTCACTGGTTCATATTATATGCTCTCCTTTGTTTCGATTCTAGTGCGCAGCATTATATGGCACAAGTAATCTAAATATATAACCAAAGAATTGCTGAGAGAAGTATGAAAAACTAATGAAAGATAAAGTTTCTCCACTAATTAATTAATTTACTTCAAATAAAATAATATTGGAAAAAAGATTCATAGACTATACACTTTTATTTTCTTCTTTCATTCATTTCATATGTTTATTCAATGAAGTTTATTCTTTTCTCTGTTGATTGCTGATGTTAGATATAGATACAAATTCATCCCCAAGTTTCGAAAGTGCTTCTTTGCCCATCCAACATGCAGACACAGGGGAAAGAGCACGAGGAAAACTTACAGGCCTAGGTAGCAAAATGTGTCTTTCTTTCTTTGTTTTTTTTTTTTTTTTAATTCAAGGTTCTTTATGTTTAATTAAACATTCTTATAGTAAAAGACACGAAGAAAAAACATTGTTTGAATCTTTTCCTTTCTATAAGCTGAGCTTTTCTTTCTTCCTTTTTCCCTTTTTCTCCTTTTTTTTTTTCAGCAGGACATCGTTTGCTTCGATGGCTCATCTCCTCTGCCCCTGATTTTATAGGTAAGCATATATTCTAACTAATATATCATTTTATATAGCTGATGTTGATTCCCATCAACTCATCTAACAAAAAAGATGTGATATTTATCATTTTAGGAATCAAGAAAATAAAAGAGCTCAGGTTACTACAAGCAGAAGCAAATAAACTTGTTCGGCTAGTTTGTAAGAGTGCAAGCAAAAGCAATCAAGTGCGTAGTTTTTCATATGCATTATTTCGTGCAGCTAAAGAAGGGAATTTTGAGTTTGTGGCTCAAATATCACAAGCAAATCCTGAAATCTTGTTCATTGGAGACAAGTCATATCGAAACATTTTCTACCATGCCATTAGGCATCGACAAGCTGGGGTTTTCAATCTTATACGTAGGCTTGATTATTTCAAGGATGCTGTTGCTTCAAGCAGAGATATAAATGGAAATAGCTTGCCACATGCAGCAGCTAGACGAGCTCCTACTTCCATTCTTAACCGCATCTATGGACCAACGTTGCAGATGCAAAGAGAATTGCAGTGGTTCAAGGTTAGTTAGGGCCAAACCAAAAACTGTCCTGATCTTTTATAAAAACTCGTAATAGTTGGATCAAGTCCTTTTACTTTTTCTGTTCTTAAAAACACATGCTTCATAGAGAGAGTGTGTTACAGATAGGGCCCTTACTATAGCTACTTCTTTCACTTTCTCAGAGGGACCTAGCTAGAGCATGATACTTGATTAGTCAGATTATGTATGGTTTTAGGAAGTTATTATTACTATTTTTTTTTTGAAAGAACAAATATTAACACTTGTTGGATTTAAGTTATATTTCAAATTAGGTGCTAGCCATTTCAATTAGCTTTGCAGAAAATCAAATGAAATTTATTGTTTCTTGCAATGGATGCAGGAGGTGGAGAAACTAGTTCCTCCTCCAATTAGAAAAGCTCGAAACAATGATGGCATGACTGCTGAAGAGTTATTCAAAGATAAACATGAAGGGCTAATGAAGCAAGGAGAGAAATGGATAAAGGCTACAGCTACTTCTTGTTCTGTTGTTGGAACCCTAATTGTTACCATTATGTTTACTGCAGCTTTTACTGTGCCAGGAGGAAATAATGAGAAGTTTGGATTGCCATTACTCATCACACAACCATTTTTCAAGGTTTTATATTCTCAAACTATATTATCACTCGTGTCTTCCTCAGCTTCAGTTCTAATGTTTCTAGCAATCCTTACTTCTCATTACTCAGAAGAAAAATTCCTCAAATCTCTACCCACAAAGTTGATTTTGGGACTTTCCTCTCTTTTCCTCTCTATGGTAAGCATGATGGTAGCCTTTCTTTCCACCATCCGTCTCATGCTGAATAATACAAGCTATTCATGGGGTCTCCTTCCTATTATTATGCTTGCAAGTGTTCCCATAGTGCTCTTCGTGTTATCACAATTCCCTCTTCTTCGTCATTCTGTGTTTGCGACATATGGGAGTATCTTCAACTAGAAAGTGGAGAAGTGGCCATGAATAATATCTGTAATTGATATTATTTTTTGCCACAATAGTACTTGTAATTGATTATTTCGGAGGTTTGTGCTCCATGAATAATTATGATTTGTGGATTCATTAGTTGTTGTTGTATGTTATTTGCTCTTGGGCATGACGCCTGAAAGAAAAACGAAGCAAGAAGGCTCATTGATTTATGGTTATTTGGAGAGAATGGCTTAGGGCAGAGACAGGGGCAAGCGAACAAAATGAAAACAATGGTTAATTGTTCATTTGAATCATTTTACAAATACAGAACCCTATTTAAAAAATTGCAATTGATTTCCTCTATTTTCAATTCACTGTATCAGGCTAAAATAAAAGAGAATTTGTCCAAAATTTATTAAACATACTAATTAACCTTTGTGCGGCAATGGTTAGCTGTAAAAAGGAAGACCAAAAATAGATCTCCAAATACAGAACCCTTCAATGTTCTTCAATAAAGAATGACAGAACAATACAACAAGGACGATCATTTTTAGCAACTGAGGGTGCCTTAATGTCACCATTGCAAGGAGGATTTTTATGCCAGGCAGGAGAAGTCTTTCGCTTCGGTTTCTCGAGGGCAGTACATTAAGGGTCTGTTTGGTATGAAAAAATGAAGAAGAGGGGAGAGAAGTGAAACTTTTGATGAGTTGATTTGAAAAATAGAAGAAGCAGGATTAAAACTTTTATTTAGTTTTTATTACATTTTAATTCACATCTTCTCTTTATTAAAATTTTAGAGCATCACATTTTCAGTTTTCTAAATCGAGCTCATAAAAATTTTTTCTATCCTCCCATCTTCTCGATTTGTCTCATATTAAACACATATAGGGTGAAGCATCATTGTCCACTTGAATAGTTTGGAAGACTCAAACAATAAAGTTGAACTGTTCAAATCATAGTGGTTTTCGTAAGTGTGGCCCACAATAGATTTAGAGACCCAAAAGTAACAAAAGCAATGCAAAGAAGATTCCAGAGGTCCAAAGTATAATTGCTAGAATTAAAATAAAAAATGGTAGGATAGTGCCTCAAATAGGAGTTTCTCTAATAGAAAAATACACATACTTAACCCAAAAAAAAACAAGTGAATTAAATGTGATTTGAAAAAAAATAAAGTGATGAATAAAGCGCACTGGTCGTATTAAATTATGAAGTGGTGAATGAAACATCATTTTCCGTTTTAACTTAATCCCAAAACTTTAACAAGTAACACAATCTATAGTTATAAATTAATATGGCAAATGTTAGAAAATAAACTGGAATAGTTAGAATAGATCATGTTCTAATGCTATGAACCACAATTAAGGACTTCATAAGGATATGTTTTTGCAACTAGAACTTCAAAATTTACAAATCAACCTCATATATATATTTACAATTTGAAGCTCCTTATTTTACGTTAGTCTTTTGCCAGAGTTCATAACTGTGATTCTTCTCTCTTGATTACGCACACATTGGTAATTCACTTATTGGAAGTTAAAAGAATCGACTAGCTGATTCAATATACTACTTCCTGTGCTTAATATAAGAGCTTTATAAATACGACTATAAGTGTAAAAATCCTAGAAGAGGGTGAGGAACCAGACTCAGCTTATCTCAGTGATGGTGCTGATTACTCTAAAGAGATCTACATTATTCAAATACAATTTTAATAGTTTAAATTGGGCATTTTTAACGTATACTTCTTAAAGAAAAATTACTTCTTAAAAAGCTAACCATGATCTTTATTTTAAATGTTATACGCATTAAAATTATCTTTTATACAAAATAAAATTAAACAAATTAAATTTGAACTTTTAGATTAGATTTAAATAGTCCAAATTTCTGTATTTACCATTCTTAATGAGTACCAATCCGCTTTCACAGGGGTGAATAAGTTATGGGTAGACATTATAGATTTCAAATTCAAAACTGTTAGCAAATGGTAGTTTTAATCTCCTGATCAACTGGCTAAAAGCTAAAGTCAGTAAACTAAAAGAAAGCAAAACAAGAAAAAAGAATCCGTAGTGAAGAAAATTGATTAAAAAATAATTATCATGATTCGTCTCCAATCACTGTTATCAGTCAGTCCCCTTAACCTCCAAACATGATCCAATAATAATAATGGGTTACCAAAAACCAAAAGTCTGGTTCCGCCTAATGTTTGGCTACCCACAATTATTGTTCTAAATTGTTAGGCTTGAATAATTAAAATTAAGCTGCTTTTGGCCAGTTACATGGATATCTTCGGTAATAAATAAATAAAATATTATTGTTGTTGTTGATGAATTGAAAATGGCCACTTGGCCTATACCTTAACCGCTCACTATACGTACATATGGTCATTATATATTACTTCCTCTTATAATTATTATTATAAAAACATGATAACAGTTTTACATGAGAGTTAGTTAATTAAAGCTAATTAGATTTTGTAAAATATCAAAGTCACCTCAATAAAATTTATCAGTCAGAGGAGTTTAATTAATTAGTTAGGGATATATTTTATGAAAAAATTAATATTTTAAACAAAATTTGTATGTTATGAAAGATGCGGATAAATATATGATAAGTTAAAGAATCATAAGCGAAATGAAAATCATTTCCGATGAATAAGTAGAAAATAAATTTGCAATTTCCTGCATTTCCAAGCCACTGCTTTGAAAGGAATAAACGAAATCTACGATTGCTTTTCCGAGGTTATAAAGAATTTACAATAAAATAATTGTAGCACTCATAGATGACGGTGAGCTATTTAGGGGGTGTTTGGATAGAAACTAAACTATAGCTTTAAAAATACTTTTACGATTTACAAAATAAATATGTAGAGAAGTTTATCAAAAAAAATACTTTTAAGAATTACTTTTTAATGTTGTCAAACACCCCTTGACGGAATAGGAAAAGCGAAAAAATATTGATAATAATGAGATACGGCGCAGGCCAGGTAGATCCACTAATAAAGCAGTCATAATCAAGCTGAGAGACCATTTCCTCGTCCTTGTCGTCGTTAAGATGAAAGTCCACTGACTCTTGACTCTGTCCAGTCTTGTCCCTTATCCTCGTGGTCATCTTCCTTCGCTCTTGTCCCTTCGATCCTCGTCCTCTTCCGCAACAGGCCCTAGCCATCAGCGAGAGCGAGAGCGAGAGCGTGATGGCGTATATTTTCGAATGATTATGCCTTATTGTATTCTGGGCCAAACCCTGTCTCACTACTAACGCTTGAAAAAACAAATCATACATATTCTCACTCACACACCCACTCAGTATCTTTCCTGAGATGCGAAGAAGAAAAGAAAAGGGA